GAAGATGGAATGTTGGGTGGGGCTATTTGAAGCAAGACACCACCAGTAGCTTTAAACAGAGGCATGACAAGCATAAAGACCGCAACTGAAACAAGTCCTAAACATAAAACCTCAGCATTGTTGACCCTGAAAAGTGGGAATAATAGAAATTATATTAGTTGAAAATGAAGGGAGGATAGGAAAAACATGGGGAAAATCTGTACTGAGATACAAAACAAGATATTACCCAAGGGACAAAAACCAGGAAGCCAAAATCAAACCTGCACTGAGAAACAATAATGTAGGGGAGCCTTAGAAGAATATAAAAATCATATGTAAGCAAGAAATACACTTATGTAAGGAGAGAGGAGCAGAGAGCAGATGCCAAACCTGCGAATGGAATCTGCAAGAACATGCAAGCAAACCGAGTGGTAATTCATATCTTCTGCCTTTCTGTATACTGCAAGAAAAACATTCATACGTATAAGGGGACAATCAACCATGTTAACCTTTATAGTTGAGGCAAACATAAATTTACTAAAACTCAAGGTTTTCATAAAATATGAAGACTGCAACATATCATTCATCAACTTAAGTACATTCTTTTTGGCACTCTTTCATTGTCGAGGCCAGCCAAAAACCTTGGTCTTCAATAAATTTCATAAAAAAGCTTGTTACAACAAGTGTCTTGCATCACCAACCTGTAGCACCTTTTACCCCTTAACTAATGTTTAACAAATTATCAATGATTTGCAAACAGCATCCCAGTTAGTGGCAGCTGGTTGAAAAAATAAATGTACTTTAATCAAAAAAGAAGGAACCAAAAAAGAGCCTCAGACAGACATGTAAGAGTTATTTTAAGTCTGCACTCGAATCATTAATTCATTATGACCATTGACTAATTGACATCTTAAATCATGTAAAACTAGAACTCTAGCATATAGCTTACCAAGATTAACTCGAGCATAATTCCTGAAGAACCAAACACCAATGAGATTAACCAATAGATTTGTCACTGCTGAAACAATCAAATAATGCCTACAAACAGCAAACAATTAACAAATTCATCAGCATAAATAAATGACAGGAAATATAAAATAAGGAAAGAAACATTATAACATTTTAATGAACCTTGTTCCATGCATAATGTATTCAACCATGTTTTATTCATCTACTGATTATTTACAGTAAGCCATGAACAATGATAAAGGCAATACAGCTAGCTTACTTGTGCTCGGATTCATCTTGTATAAATGCATGAAGTGCTTCCACGGCTATGGAGAATGACATGAACAGAAGAAACAGCTGTCTAAACAAGCAGCAAAATCAAGAATACCAAGATATTAGCCATTTGATGACATTGACAACAAAAAA